GATTCCTTAGAGTATTCATTTTGGGAATTTACAGCTTCTATGATGTCTTAAGATACCTCCTGTTAATATTGTGTAATACACGGGCACGGGTAGATGGGCCTGTAGCCACTTTCAGACAGTCTGTGCAGAGACTTTACTTTTACAAGGATCTCTTATCATATGCCTCACAAACAATTCTTTAGTGTGACTTCCCTTGTATGATCCAGATTATTTTCTTCCCGTAGAGCTATCATCATAGGGAATTCAAATTATTGATAGGCACTGTTTTGTTTAGTAATGACAAAAAATAGAATGGCTTACCTATGTCTCTTAGAGTGTGACCTTTTTTCTGGGAGCAGAGGGATCTGAATCCATAACTGCATAAGATTTCTTTTTATCCTTAACAAAGAAAATCTCTACTAAACAAGTAGAGATTGATAGATACAGAAAAATAAGTAATATACCTTCAATAAAGAAGAACTTACCAAAACCAAAAAGAAGAATTCAAATTAAGATGAAAACTGCACACAAATCTAATTACTTAATATAGAAAAAAACCTATAAGAAACATTGTGTAACAAGCGCTTACCTTTCCCCGCCGGTCCCGCGCAGCGCCGGGTCCTCCTCCGATCCTTCCGGGGGGCGGCTCAGCTATTCTGACGCCGGCCGCTCGGAACACGCCCACATTTATGACGCGGCGCATGCGCGCCGACGTCAGACCGAAAATGGCGCCAAAATTCAAACGTGGCCACGCTCCCGGACTTTTTGGGGGCGTGGCTACGGAATTAAAGCCAAAGAACACACACTATAAAAGGGCTATCATGACACTTGTCAGATGCCCTAGTGTGGTTCTTGTTTAAGTCCCCTGGTGCTATCTTTTCTTATTGTCCTTCCTGGTAATTGACCCTTGGCTACTCTCTCTGACTATTCTGTTTTCTGGTTTCCCGTCACTTGGCTTGGATAATCGTGTGCCCGTCTTCCGTATTCCCTTGACCTCTGGCTATTTCTCTTGACTATTCTCAGACGTTAGTCCGGCCAATCTAAGGTCCGGTAACCGTCTTTCTGTGGGTTTCACGCTGTGTGAAGGGGTCATTGTTGTGACTTTGGTCACTGTCGTGACACATTGTGCTGAAAAGGTGAAGCCAAGATGACCCTGCAACCGGGCTTACATTTTAAAATACGCACAAGCGAATCAGATTTCTATGCATGCGCGGAATTGGCATGGCGCGACCATTGGACTAGCACCTGCGTATTCTTGGGGATTAAACGCAGAGGAAAAAACCTGAATGGGCCCAAAAGTAAGAATGGAAACTTAGGTACTTATAATAAAACAGGTTGAAAGGCTGAGATAGAGGAACAGAAAAGCGACTAACCTATTACCAAGGTCAAAGACATTGAAATAGGATAATAAATTTAGTGAATACATAAAACCAACATAGAGGCATATAATAATGCAATTAAAAAGCACATAGAATAAGTGAACCCAGCAACTGTAATAAAAGGTACTAGAAACAATTATTGCAAATTTTGAACCAGGAAAGAGACATTCAGATATTTTCTGGTTTCCAAGTGTATCCTGGGGATGCCACCCCTACCCGATATAACGGCACACATTTTATTTACAAATAAGGATTGACACAGCCCTGCAGGTAATTGAACTGGTGAGCCCCAAGGTACAAACAAATTCTTCTGATAAAGTATTAGCCCACTGAGCGATGGAATGTTAGTCAATGTCATATAAATCCTTGCAATCCATGTGCTCTGTATGTGCATGTCCGGCATGCTACCCCTTGGTCACTGCAGGAGACAGGATTATGGCGTAATCTTGCTACCCCTAGGGTCACTGCAAGTAAATCCATATGCTCTGTATGTGCATGCCCAGTCTGCTACCTCTTGGTCACTGCAGGAATCATGGTGATGGCATGATCTTGCTACCCCTAGGGTTCTGGAGACTGCCCAAGGGAGAGAGGCTGAACTCCCTTGAGGGAGAAGGTAACAACCTTTAGGTAAGCCAAAGAGAAAAAATTCTCTAGTCTTAGAATGACTAAGTCTGTCCTAGGGATAGGACAGCAACAAAAAGACTGAGGGTGGGAGGGGTAGGAGGGGTTACGTATACCTTCTGTTTTAATTAGGTTCCTGTCTGGTTAGGGATAGGGAGGAGCTACCCATTGTTGTGCTGTCATGGATATGGCCAGGAAATATATATATATATAACAAAATAAAGTTAGAGTGAAATTACATATGTATACATAATTTATTTTCATTTAGAAATATTTATTTTATTTTATTAATTTATTATTGTAATTATATATATATACATATATATATATATATATATATTTATTTATTTATTTATTTATTTTTTGCCTAGGTGAGGTGTTTTTAAATAAAACTATTACAATCTCTAAGATTTGAAATCATTGTTTAGTGAATAAGCGAGTGCGCTGGATTCTGTATTTTGTATATTTTGGCCCCTTTAAAGTATGCATGTTTAGGTGAGTGCAGCCATCTTGGTTTCTTTTACATATTTGGGAGTCCAGGCCAACGCCTTGGTTTTGCACCTCTCCCTGTCACAGGTGCCTCATTCCAGGACCCTATTTAGCCTTGACTTGCAGAGAGTCCCATTAAGGAAGTATTTCCCAAGTAAGTGGATTAATCTCATAAGAGCAAGCATTAGGCTGCCAGGAATGGGGTACATTGACGTTGTGGCAGGCTTATGCAATATATGATCATATAATGTAACTAAACCCCCATTATTTGTTGCCTAGGTGAGGTGTTTTTAAATAAAACTATTACAATCTCTAAGATTTGAAATCATTGTTTAGTGAATAAGCGAGTGTGCTGGGTTCTGGATTTTGTTTATTTTATATATATATATATATATATATATATATATATATATATATATATATATATATATATATACACACACACATTTAATTTATTTTAACCCCTTAAGGACGGAGCCAAATGTACACAGTGTGAACGAAACAAAATGTAAACAAAACCTGGCATTTGCGCTACATGTCTGTCCAACCGTAATACACCTCTTTAATAGTAAATGCACCCACCCTTATTATATATCATTTTATTCAGGGGAAACAGGGCTTTCATTTAATATCAAATATTTAGCTATGAAACATAATTTAATATGAAAAAATGGGAGAAAATAAGATTTTTTTGATTTTTTTTAGTTCTACATGACATTTTAACGTCAATGTCATAATACTGTTTGCTTTTACTGCAATAAAATACACATATTTGTATTCAGTAAAGTCTCACGTGTAAGACAGTACCCCCTATGTACAGGTTTTATGGCGTTTTGGGAAGTTACAGGGTCAAATATAGCACGTTACATTTGAAATTGAAATTCGCCAGATTGGTTACGTTGCCTTTGAGACTGTATAGTAGCCCGGGAATGAAATTTACACCCATAATGGCATACCATTTGCAATAGTAGACAACCCAAGGTATTGCAAATGGGGTATGTCCAGTCTTTTTTAGTAGCCATTTGGTCACAAACACTGGCCAAAGTTAGCGTTAGTATCTGTTTGTGTGAAAAATGCAAAAAAACGCCAATTTTGGCCAGTGTTTGTGACTAAGTGGCTACTAAAAAAGACTGGACATACCCTGTTTGCAATACCTTGGGTTGTCTACTATTGCAAATGGTATGCCATCATAGGGGTAATTTTCATTCTTGGGCTACCATAGGGTCTCAAAGGCAACGTAACCAATCTGGCGAATTTTAATGTGAAAAAAATGAAACACAAGCCTTATATTTGACGCTGTAACTTTTGAAAACACCATAAAACCTGTACATGAGGGGTACTGTTGTACTCGGGAGACTTCGCTGAACACAAATATTTGTGTTTCAAAACAGTAAAAAGTATTGCAGCAATAATATCATCCGTGTAAGTGCTGTTTGTGCGTGAAAAATGCAAAAAACTTTACTGGCGATATCATTGTTGTAATACATTTTACTGTTTTGAAACACTAATATTTGTGTTCAGCGAAGTCTCCCGAGTAAAACAGTACCCCCAATTTACAGGTTTTATGGTGTCTTGGAAAGTTATAGGGTTAAATATAGTGCTAGCAAATTAAATTCCCTATACTTTCGGCATGGGTTGTCAGGCAGGTCCCGCTAATTGTAATTAATTAGGATACCTAATTATGTAAAAATATTACATAAATATATGTGTAGAATTAATATATGTATATTTGTGTTAAGGGCTCATGATAGTACAGAAGATACAAACATTGATAAGTATGGGATAGTGTGAAAGAGCAAGTCGGTTGTGGTGTGCCGGAACCGACGATGAGGTAGGCCTGTAAATAAAGAGGGCCCACCAATAAGAAATGTATGAGAAAAGGAGTTAATAAAAGAGGAGTGGGTGGGAGGGTGATGCGGCGCTGACCTCGAACGGTATGGAGCCAGGTAAGGGGTGTCCCTTAAGTAGGGAGAAGGTGAGTCATACGCCCCTCCCACAATTACAGGCCAAAAGGCCTTAATACTTGTGTTAAGGGCTCATGATAGTACAGAAGATACAAACATTGATAAGTATGGGATAGTGTGAAAGAGCAAGTCGGTTGTGGTGTGCCGGAACCGACGATGAGGTAGGCCTGTAAATAAAGAGGGCAAAAAGTAGAAAATATACTTTATTACGAAACGAGCAGTATACATACTTCAACCAGACATATCTTGAAAGGCATTTCTAACTTCTTGTACTGGGTTAGGTATGTATCTAGAGTATGCAGAAGACTTCCAGCGCCCTAGTGATTTGATAACATGTACTGGAATGTTTGCACTGGATGCTGTGGAGGCCGCCCCTATGCGGAAGGAGTGGCCCGAATAGTTAGCTGATTTTAGGCCTAGTTGTGTAAGTAGGGACCTGACGTGGGTCATGAAGGTGGTGGTAGTGAGTACCGAACCTTGTAGACAGAAAAGTGGTTGAGATGGTGATGCTTTGAAATGCTGAGTATAGGTGTCCAGTAATGTGACGGGGCACCACACGTTGTGGGTAGGATAGTATCTAACCTCTACCGGGGGTGCGTGTTGATTGGTTTTGGAGTGATGCAGAGCTAAAATATAGTAATCCATGTGTTTTGTTAAGTGTGAATGAAGCAGAATGTGAGTGGACTGGGATGTGTTGATGGCGGTAAATTCTCTTGGTCTCAAGAAACCATAAAAAGCTACGTATATGGCGGTTTTTATAACAAGGTTTGTGTTGTTCGCAAAGGGTTTTGAATCTAGTAGGCTGGATAAATCCTTGAAGATATTGAAGTCTATAGGTAGCCTTTGCGCGGTACGTGGGGGTTCGGATCTCTGGATACCTCTAAGGATGTTTTTGATCTGGTAGGAGGACATGAAACTTGTGTTGTTTGGTTGTAATGTTAGCATGTGATGTTGTATGCCTGTCAGATATAGCTTGATTGTGTTGTGAGATAATTTAAGTTTGAGGTGGCAAAAAGAAGCAAAACCTAACAAAGATGTCATGATGAAAGGTTGTGTGACGTTGTGCAGTGACAGGAATCTTTTAAATAGAAGGAAAGCCCTGTCATATGTTCTCCGGGTATTGGTGGACAGTGCTAATTGTGCCAATGTCCTGCTATGTTGCATAATAGCTTCTAGTCCATGACTAGCTGGTGGAAAGGTGGAGTGGTCGTGGCTGTACGTGCGGCTGACGGAAGTATTTGCCGAAAAGCCTGAAAATTGAAACGAGACAAATTGTCAGCAGCCGTGTTACAAACACCTGGGACATGGACACATAACAAGAAGAAATTGTGGCATGCAGCTAGCCAGGTGAGTTTCCTCAAGAACCTCATAATGGTCAGTGACTTGGATCGGCCTTTGTTTATGATGTGGCAGGTAGCTTGGTTGTCTGAGTGGCAACGTACTGACGAACCTGCCCATAGATGCCCCCATGTAACGGCAGCTGCTACTATGGGATACATCTCAAATAGAGCTGAGGTAGTGGAAAACCCTTCCAGGTCCTGTACCTCTGGAGGCCAGCTACCCCAAAGCCATTCATTCCCGTAAATTGCTGCAAAACCTGTGGTAGACGCCGCGTCTGACCAGATGGTAGGTGAGGAGTCAGACAATTTAGGGAGAAACATGCTTTTCCCATTCCAGGTGGTCAAAAGTTTCTCCACATAAGTAGGTCTGCCGTGGCTTGGGTATCCAGTGGTAACCTGTGTGCATCATGTCTAAACAGTGGGAACATGGTTAGGAGCCGTGAGATGAAAGCCCGGCCTTGAGGTATAATGCGCATGGCAAAGTTCAGTGACCCAAGTAGAGACTGCAATTCTTTGCGATTGCAAGTACCGAGGTGTATGTAGAGGTTAATGTTGGTGAGAGTGTTCTCTATCTTGGTGCGTGGCAGGCTGGCTTGCATGGTGGCTGAGTCTAGCATGATTCCCAGAAAGGTGATGACTGTATCTGGTCCTTCAGTTTTGGTGGGGGAGACTGGAACACCCACCTGTTTAAAAAGACTGATGGTTTCTATGAGGCTACTGGGAGGGGAAGTGTTCTCTTCGATCAGTAAGAAATCATCCAGGTAGTGTATAACTGTAGGGCATCTGGCTACATTTAATAATAACCAGCATAATGTTTTGGCGAATACGTCGAAAATGGCCGGACTACTTTTTGAACCAAACGTTAGGCGTGAGAAAAAGTAGTAGTGCCCGGCCCACTTAATGCCATGCAGGTGCCATAGTGTAGGGTGGATAGGCAATAATTTGAAGGCATTTGTAATGTCAGTCTTGCTGAGCCATGCTCCGACCCCTACCTGCATGATAGCTGTAATGGCGTGATCTATGGTGGAGTATTGAAGTGAAAATTCCTCAGAGGGGATAAGGGAGTTCAGACTAGGTGAGGCAGAGGTGTGAGGTGCAGACAGATCGATGATAAGTCTTTGTTTGTGGGAAGATTTCCCTGTGACAATACCGATGGGGTTTGTCCGCCATGTGGAAAAAGGAGGGGACTGAAAGGGTCCCAATAGGAAGCCCTCTGCCACTTCTTTGGCTATGAGTGTGCTAACCGCTGTAGGGTTTTGTTGTGCAGATTGTAAATTAGGACATTCAAGGATTCCTGAAGGCATGTGTATGAGACCAGTATGGAATCCTTGTGATAGACCAGTGATGATGAAGTCTACCAAATGTCTGGATGGATGTCGTGACAGTAATGCCGTGAGTACAGAAATATTTATCTCGGTTAAGTATTGCTTAGGGTACATTTTATTTGGACACATGGTTTTCGCATGTGCCCTAAAACATTTTGAACATATATGCAATAACCGACAACCGCTGTAATTACATGCACCGACATTGAAATTATTACATATTTGGGACTTCCCCAAAAACTTGATAGGTCGACCCAGTTTGTCTTTGGGTGTTCTCTCTGCTGACACAGCGGAGCTAGTGCCCTGCGAGGTGGTAGGTTCGTTCGCAGTGGTCGGACAAAAATTGGCAGTATGAGCCATGGAGGAGCAGTGTGCACAGGCCGGTGCTCTTAGACCTGCAAAGTGCCTGCAAAAAATGATCGTATCAATCTTACTCCAGTTGGACCTTGTCCCGTACTGTGAGAAGGAGCCAGACACTTTGGCAGAAAAGGATCTATGGTAGTCATAGAAAGCTGACCCACCATATTTGTTGCCCAGATCAACCAGCCTGTGCATATATAAGTCAAACTCCTCACGTCTGTGGGGATATACCGTACAGACCACATCCCGATAAATGCCAAAAGCTAATACAAATTCTGGAATGGTTAGCTTCCTATTTAATTGTGCATCCCTGGATTTGACTACCACAGAAATATCGTCATAAGCGTAGGTCTTATGTTCCACTATATCCTGGGAGGCAATTAGTAGTGAGGCCAGATTGACATCTTTACCTTCCAGGATATCTCTCCTGAGGTGCTCAGGAATCATGTAGGCAGGGTAAACTTCTTGGTCATCCGAGGTGATAGCTGGAGAAACTGATTGCGACTCCACCACTGATGGGGGAATTGCCGTGGCCGGTCCAGCCATAGTGAGGGCTGTAGTGACCGATTCAAGTTTCTCCAGCCTAGAATTGACCTTGCTCATGGATGTCATGAGGGACGTGAGCATGTCATGTATGTTTCCTGGGTGGGACTGGCTCGACCCTTCCCCAGCGTCCATGTTATCGGTTGAGGTGTGTAATAATTTGTAAAGTTCCGCTTTCCTTGCTGTTGCTGGAAAAGGGATTTGTCGTCTCCTGAGTTCGCTAGTGATACGAGGGATAGTCCATGATCTGAAAGATGCTGGACTAGCCGTATCTTCCTCCTGTGATGGGGTGTTGGTTCTAGCCGGAGTCCTTGGGATGGAGAAATCCTCTACCCCTTCTTGCGACATACTAGATTACAAAGTATATGGTTAGCATAAAACCCCCCGAGGGGATGTACTGGCAGGCTAATTATGCCGGATGAGGCGAAAAAATTAAACTTGTTCTTTGGTGACAGGTGAGGCCCTGCTAGTTGCCAAGTGGCTATGAGAGGCTCTATCTATGCGTTGGCGCGAGGGGTTATTGAGGCCACCCGACGTAGTGGCAGGAATTCGTAGGCCTCTCGGTGACAATACAAGAAAACAGGGGAAGGGAGTGACAGGTGGCACCCTCTCTATAATGCGAGGCGGCTAACTCACGTGTGGCCCGGGGGGCATTACCTCCGAAACGTTGAGGCGGGGTGTTGGCCTCGCGGACCACTAAACGATAGGCAGAATGCCCGGAGGGGGGATACCTATTTGGGCCTATAACCCCTAAAATTGCCAGTACTCTATGTCCTAAGTAGAGGAGGAACCATATGTGATGTATGGCGTGAGCAGGCTTAACGTACCTGGTAGTATGTATGCGTTTGATAAGCGATAGGTAGAGAAAAACTGGAAAAACCTAAAGGGATAGAAAACCAAATATGATAGTGTGAGAATTGGATCCTATGATACCAATTTAGACTAGTTAGTTGTGGTGAGTTCTAGTAGTACATATGGAAGGGAATATATGAATGATATTGGCCCGACTGGCCCTGTCTGTGGTATGGTAATCATGCTTGGGGGTGTGTATGATATGTCTCTATGGTGACCAGATTTAATAGTAATGCTAGTGTTTGTAGTATAATAAGGTGCAGGATTTAAAATAATACCGTATATGTTAGGCCGTAAACGTAAGCCATGAAAAGAGGTAAGTACGAGGTACAGAAATATTTGAGAAGTTATCCCAATTAGGAAACAACGTGACGTATGAGTGGTTGAATCAAGACGTGTGATTCAACCCGAAAGTTTGTGAGATTTATGAGACCGTGTTCTTGTGTACTTGGTATGTCCTTTGAGTACACAAAGAAAAAGTCAGAATATATAAGTGCCATGTAAGAAACGTGAGTACATGGTATGATAGAAACGTAATTTCTAAACATAATTTATAACGTAAATCCTACAAAAGATATCTGTAAAATGTAAAAGCTTGTCTAAGCTTAACTCCCTAAATAAATGTATATAACATGAAGAATTTCAATAAAACTTTAATGATACCATATCTGCTAAAAGATTAAACCATAACCTAAATAAACACTTATTCATAAGTACTTAACAGGGGTATTGCCCCAGTCATGCAAGGATTTTGTAATTTGCATAAAATAATTAACAGTAATAACATGAAACCAATTATAGCTGATGATATGCATAACAAGTTTGCTTAATACAAGAAAAACCGAACCGATATGCCTGCCGGCAGCAAAGGGGTTAATATGCCTGTGACTTGGCCGTAAAGCGTGTGGCCGTAAAGTAAGGCCGTTTTAAAATCGCGACGCCGTGGGAAATGATCCGGGTGACGGACTTACGATTTTGCAGTCCTGTGGACTTAATCTGCGACGAAACACCGGGTATGTGCGTGGCTGAACGGGCGGAAAACCTGTAAGGATTCCTGGACACAGCTACACCAAACGAAAACCGCGGGTTTTGAAAAGCAAGATGGCGCCGTACGTGAACCGGAAGTGGATTCTCGATGCGGCGCTGACCTCGAACGGTATGGAGCCAGGTAAGGGGTGTCCCTTAAGTAGGGAGAAGGTGAGTCATACGCCCCTCCCACAATTACAGGCCAAAAGGCCTTAATACATATACATATGTGTATATATACATATATATATATATATAATTTTTTAAAATATTTTTATTTATATATAGGTGTATATATTTAGTGATATATATGTATATATTTATGTATATAGATATATATATTATTTCGTTCTACGTGTATTTT